GGTCCCGGGCACTTTGTCCTGGGGGTTGCGTCTGCAAGAGCCCATGTTTGGGGCCAGGAGGATGCTATGGAAAGGGCAGTGGGCTGGGGGTCCCCATGGCAGGGTGAGGGGGGCTCCTCCAGGGAGGAGGCGATTGGAAGAGCATTTGGGGGTGTCGGGGGCTCAGTGATGCTGCCCACTAACACCCCTTTCTCTTCCAGCCCTGGGGCCTCTGCTGGTTTCATCGTCACCAGGTAGGTGCTGGCGGGGAAAAGCACGGGGGGCCTGGAGAAAAAAAAAAGAAATCTATAATTCAGTTATAGAGGAAAGCATGTCCGCCTACCCACCCCCCCCCACCCCAAGCATTCTTATAGCCTCTTGCTTCAGTACCCCAAACCTTTGGGACAGCCTGACACTCTCACCAGTCTCCCAATTTCAGCAATACTATTTGTATTTACTGCTTCACCACGCCTGTTGCCAAGTCCTCTCCTCCAGGACAGAAACAAGCTAATACCTCTCCTTCACTTGTTCCACCTGTTGCTGCTCTACAAGATTTTTCAGTTCCAAGACTTTCTTTCCTTTTTCTTTCACTTCATCCTCTCTCCTTTTCTGCAGTGGTTCTTGCTGCTCAAATTCATCTTCCTCCTGAAGAAGAAAGAAGAAAACCCTTGTAACTCTCCAGCTCAAGTGGGGAAAGATGGGAGGATATGAAGCAAATGCTTTAGACAAACTGTGCTTGTTATATCCCATTCTTACCTTCCATGGCCTGCCTACCAACTGGGTGGTCTCTCCCTTCTGTCCCCACAGGTACCCGTGTTCAAACCCAACATCAACTGTCTAGACAGAAATCTTGCAGCAGGGACCCCAAAATCCCTCCAGCAGGAGAGGCAGTAACCTTTCCCTGTCCCACCAGTCGGAACAGTGTACGGGTTCCCTGCTACTCCTTTCCTTTTCTACATGCAGGAGGGACCTAGAGTTGCTCTTACCACCCTCAGCGCTTTCTGCTTCCGCGCATCAGCTTCCCCAGGCTTCTTCGACGGTTTTTTCTTGCTCCGCTCCTCTCCCACTTTCTCTTCCCGCACTTGTGAGAGGCGCACCTGAGAAAGCCACACGTGTCTGCTCCACTGCCCCCGAGGACACACCTCACAGCCTTGTCCAAGTGGAGGACGGGGACTGCTTCTGAAGTCCGTGATATTCCAGGTCCTACTGAGGCTGAGAACCCAACACCCAGCAAGCGGCACGTGCGCATTAGATTTAGCGCCAACCTTGTGCAGCAAGTCCACCACTTACTGCAGGCCATGCGAAGAGACACCCATTGCTTGGAGTGACAGGAGAAAGGAGCACAGAGACCATCACACAACCCAAAATTACACGCTTCCACCTTGTAAGTGATTCTCTGCAGAACAAGGGGATGCAGCATCTGGTTTCCGCTTTGCCTGCAGTGCTGCTGTCGACTAACTGAACTGCAGTATGAACTGAGGATGCGGAAGCTGACTGAGCCCCAGAGACACGGTTCCTCCACCTGAGCTGTCTGTCCACGGCAGCAGACTAGCCAGGGCTGTGCGTGCTTTTGGCCGCTCAGGTGTTGGGAAAGGCTGAAAGGAGCACGATTCTTTTGTCTTCTAAGGCTGACCCTTTCCAAAGGTGACTTTAGTCCACCCCCCAAAATGAGCGACCATCCTTCTCCCAAAGGCTGCTAGGGCTCCAGGTCAGTCAGGCACAGCCTCCCTCAATCCCGCAGAACCTGCACGGTTGTACAAAAGCAGCGACACTGTCTGCACGCAGCCATTAGCAGCCCATCCTAGCACGCTCTTCATCTTCCACCTGTCCTCAAAAGAGGGCCAGACAAAGCTTTAAAAGACAAACACGATACAAATACACACACAGCCAAGTCTACTAGTCATGAGCATCCCTTGCGTGCTTGGTAGCTGTTCTCTCCCACCACGCTTGTGCAACCCCCTGCAAGCACTGCGGCTTCGCTGTCTGTAGTGTTTTGTGCAAACAGCTCACTGAGTGCACCGTAAGCTGAGTAAGGCTGCCTCACCTGCAGGGCCTGTTCACAGGACAGTTAAGGGATGCTGCCACATTCCTTGAACACAGAGCACCATAAACACTGCATGTCAGAACAGGAATGTTTAGAACCGCTGCAGAGGTATGGAGAACAAAAGCCTCCTCTTGTTAGACAGAGAGTTTCAGTGTCTCTGATGCAGACTTACCCACCACCTGATTAGTCACCGTCAGCAGCAATCCTGTGCTTGCATGTATCATGCCAGTGACCCGTTTGCACCCTCTTGGTCCCACAGCCCACAGAGATAACGTCACAGTACTGACTGGTCCAAAGCTTGGTCAGCTTTCTTACCTTCTCATCATTTTGTAAAGTCTTCTGCTCCATCCGCTTTTTCTTCTCTTCTTCCATTTGTTCCACCCGCTCCCGAGCCTGCAGTGCCTTCCTCAGACGTTCTTCCCTCTTCCTGGGCAGCACGTGTGCAAGAGGGGCTTGTTAGCTTTGTCTGCTCTAGCACAGAGGATGATGGGGGAACAGGGACTTGCAGGACATGGTAATGGGGGGAAACAGTTATTTTGCTCGACTTGCTTTGGCTGAGCTTAGCCTCAGCTCATTTCTGGATAAAGTTCAGACATTAGCAGGTGCTTTGCACTGATGCAGTCCTTACTGCAGTGAGCCATGAAGAGCAGTGCTCAGGGTCACTTGCAGGCAGCATCACTTGCTAAATGCTCCTTCCAAGTGGGAGGCACAAAGCACGGTACAGCAGTGCTGTCTGCCTGGCAGGGAAGGCCTCCAAGGCAATTCTGTGCTGAACCAGGGAAGGAACAGGAGGTAAGGGACCCAACTCACTGCTTCATTTCTGCCTGCCGCCGTCTCTTTTCTTCCTCCACTTTCTTTTTCCTCTGTTCCTCAGCTTCCTGCTTCTTCCTGAGGCTCTCCAGTCTCTGCCGCTCCCTCTCCTGAAGGGAGATGAGTTCAGACTATACCAATTGCTGAGGCCTGTTTCTACCCTCAGGCTGCTTATGCCCAGGCAGCTAGAGGCTAGGCAGCCTGCTAAACAAAGAAGTCACCGTCAGAGTCATATTCACCCACACACCAGGATGGGAAGTGAATAGTAGGGAAGAAACAATGCAGGTTTGGCAGAAACAATGCAGGTTTGGCAACAGTGCTTATTCAACTAATAAGAGCAGAAGAGTCACAGGTATAGGAGGGAAACACCTCAGTCCTTCAGTTGTAGAGAATATGTTTAGGCAAGAAACAGCACACTCCTGCTGTAGGTGACCACCTATAGCAAATGCTCCTTGCCTGGGACAGTGTTACCCACACCAGCAGCTGGGAGAATGGGGGAGAAGGGGCACAGTGCAAGTAGTCTTGCTTAGAGGCCAAAAGGTTTCCTAGCAGTTCCCAGCCCCAGCAGAACACACCTGTGAAGAGATCCTGCCACCTCACCACTGGTGTGGCCAGTTTACTTATTTGGACAGAGAGCTGCATGGATGCTAGTGCGAGGGGAAAGAGCTGTCAGTGCCCATGAGGCAAGCAGCACAGCCGTTACAGTCTTCCAGCCCCCACAGTTAAGGTTGTCATTACTTACAACAAAGTCTCCCTGTAGAGAAGAGATATAAAAAAAATGATTAAGGGTTTGGAAGTAACACTAGAACCCCCCTTCATAGCACACCAACCCTGTTCTTAGCTGTAATTCTTTATCAGTATGTGGTAGGGAACCCATTGCCTGACCTCACGCTGCCTGTGTCTTTCAGCCCTGCAGCAGTCAATTATGCAAGACACAAGGGCAGATCCCCACTGCAAAAAGAAAAGCTTCCCACTTTCCTACGGTTCAACAGTCCCAGAATATAAAATGTTTCTGCTGACTATAGGTAGAGCAACTGAGATTTCTCTGCATATGAGGAAGGTTTGAGGATTGGTGCTAAAGACCCCCAGACAATAACAGTGTGCGTGGACAGACTACGCAAGGCAACACCAACCAGTTTCCCTCCCCTGGGGAAGCTGAAGTAGAATTGTGAGGCCAGTTTGCTACGAGGACCTGCACTGATCCATGGTAGCAGGCAGAAAAGCATAAACATATTCCTAGTTCTAAGCAAACAGTCCCTCATGCCGCTCTCCCAAACTTGATCCCCTCCTCCAGCCCTGCGAGGGAAGGTGGGACTGACGCACCTTAAGATCAGGCCGGGTGGGAGTATTGCGTTTGATGAAGTTCTTTATGACACCCCCACGTCCTGTGGGCCCCGGGCTCACGAGCAGCTGGTTTCGCTGCACAGCCTGCAGGAAGTTTTTCAATGGTCTAACAACCTAAGAGGAGAAGATGGAGGGAAGTCAGTACCTGCCAGGGAAAGGCAGGCAAAGAAGGGCCATGGCACCCACTCACCTTGCTAGCTGGAGAGGAAGAAGATGGAGACTGGTTTGCTGAATCCTTGTGCTTGTCATCCAAAGGGGAAAGGGTACGACCCCCTGGCTGCTGCTCGTTCCATGTAACACCCATTGCTTGTTTATAGCTTCTTGTCCTGGTGGCATTAGGAAGAGGCACATTAGGTGACCATCACGCTCCTTAATCTTGCCAGAAGCATTTACTTGCTGTTACACACTTCCCTCTGCCTGCTCGCTGCCACCAGAGAACATGGGACTCCTATGAACTCAGTCGGCCCTGTGGCAGGCGCGCCGTCCAGTCACAAATGAGGACAGGAAAGGTATGTGACAACTCGGTAGGGGAACATCCAAGTTCCAGAGCAGAAACGTACAACATCATGCTCACTCTCATCCTCCACTCTGAGTCCCAGCGAGCAAGAAGTCTTTGTTATATCTGGTATTAACAGCACAAGATAGACACAACCCCTGTGTGTTTGCAACTACCCAGCCCAGCTCACCTCACTGGCAGAGTTTCACACGCTTTAGAAATACTTCGGACACTCAGATTTACGTGTGTCAGAAATTACTTCACTTGCATGCCCTAATTCCAGGGAAAAACAGGGGGGACTGCTTCACTGCACAATGAGGGACCAATCCAGCAGCAGCCCTGAGGAAGGCTGCAGATCCTGACCCATCACACAGCACTAAGCATCCATGTGAGAACAGAGGTTACTGTTATTCCCCTTCCCATCCACTATGCACAGCAAATTCACCCCAGCAAAATCAGGACAGGAGACTGAGGGCAAAGCTAAGAGCAGGTGAAACCTCACGTGAAACACCAGTAATACAGGTAGTGAGGAAACAAGTCAGGTATTCCAGACGCTTGCACAAGATAAAAATAAATAAGTCAGTCACCTACTCGCGTTGCCTTCTGAAACTACTCCTGGACCACCCCTCTATGAACCACTCAGAGTCACATCTAAGCTGTGAGTTAACCATGCTATCTTAGTCACCTTTGCTGGTTTGTGCATGAACTCCTGTCTGCTTCCCAAGCCAGACCTGGGTCCTAGACCCAAACAAGGCTGAAGAAGTCACAAGGAGCTCCCAGGAGACAAGATCTGGCCAAAGGAGATTTCAAAACTACAGTGGAAGGGGTCTGGGTGGGAAGGTAGGGAAACAAACACCCAAAGCTTTTTAAAACAAATTATTTGAAAGGCCGGGCCCAAGTCCTTCCAGACCACTGGCTCATTCCTCCCCCTTGCAAATTTCTCATACCAGATGCGTGAGGGATTCTCCTGGGACTTGGCACAGTGGGGTTGTTCCTGGTTCTCGTTCTGGCGTTTGCTGTCTGGATTTACACAGCTTCCTGTGAAGAAACCTGTAGTTAGCACCATGTGCAAGGCATCCTGCAGGGCTCAGACTCTGGTCTCCAGCTCTTGTGTGCTCAGAGCCCTGTAGCAGGTAGCCAAACTGAGAAACCAGAAGCCTGGATGGCTACCTGGAATATCAGTGTTGTATACGTACGCTGTGAAGCATGCTGTGGCACGCATCCTGTACAGACCCTTCTGAACAGGCACAATCTGTCTCACCAAAAGGCCTCCAGCTACTCTTCCCTCCATTCCAGCTACAGCTGCTTATCAGATCCTACAGTTCCCACGGGGGATAAATAAAAAGCCTGAATCTCTCCCTCTCCTTGCTTTGAGGCACAGTAAATAAATGGGACCTGTAAATCCTCACATAATATAAACCCAGAGGAAAGGGATGTCAAGGCGCTTTAACAGAGCATTACACTATGTGGAAGATTCCAGGTCTAAGAGCAATCTCCTTTCAAAGTGTCCCCACCTGCTCATTTTGCAGATTGAGGTTGGACAGGACAGCATTTGTCTCAAGGCTTGGACACATTTACAAGACGTCCTTGCTTATCTAATTGCATGACTCACCTCTTCAGGAGATCAAAAGTTTACCTGAAAAATTACCTTGACGGGTCAGAGGTAGTTTTGTTTCAATACAAGTCCCAGATTTTCCACAAACCCTCATGTTGACTCCCTACTCTGTGTGTCTTTGGGGCTTCATGCAAGAAAAGCAAGACCAACTCAAAGTTACCTTCATTGTTCCCTGCCTGCTGCTCAGGAGAGGGTAAGTGCTGTGCAGGAGGGCTGGCAGCTTGTATACTTTTGCTTGAGATGAGGACATCTTCAGAAGTCTGCAGGAAAAAGAAACAAGCATTCTCTCAGCACAGTTGCTCCAAAGAACAAGGCTACCATGGACCTTCTGCCCTGAAAAAGCCAGTCGCTTCCAACTGCAATCCAACTGCTAGGCTAGGGTCTGCTCCTCTCTCAACTAGAGCTGTGCTGCATGGACGCTGACTGGCTCATTTCAGTAACCGGGAGCCTGCTCATGAAACACCAGCCTCTGCAGGAAGGACAGTTGCCCAGCACTTCTCAACCAGAGCAGGAGCTTTACTGAACCTGGACTCCAAAGTCAAAGTGCCTCAAGAATGACAGGCAGCTTCTGCACACCTTGGAGACACCAATTTTCAAACTACAGATATTCCAGTCCTGAAAGAAAGACAAGTCCCTGTAAAGTGTCTCAGGTTACAAGATCATTAGGCACTTTTAAGTACCATTATGGTATATTCACAGGAGGACAAGCAAAAAAGTCGCTGCAGCACAGCATCCTAGCGTGTTACGAGGCTGCCTACACACAGGCCATGCTTTCCCCTGCCTGCTAAGCTACCACCAGCTACCACCACCACGATCCGGAGCAGAGCCACCTGCCCATTCCCACCTCTGCTGCTTCCCAACAGCACCAGGGAGCTGTTCTGAAGCAGAGCCCACCCCTCTCTGCTGGGCTGGTTTTCACCTCAGCGGGTTCGCAGCACAACCACACAAGCTGTTTTTGCCAGCTCAAAGTAGGGGATGGGTTTCTTTGTCCTGCTAGCACTGCGGGCTTATGCTAGCTTGCTGCTTACATAGCCTCAGCGGCCAAGGAAAGCACATTAACTTGAACTGCCCTCCTGATTTTTGTAGCTCAAACCAGCCAAGCAACAGAGACAGGCTAAGAATACACCCCATCAATTACCATGCCCAGCTGACAGGCAAAAAGCTTGCTGACTCCTGGGAATCTGGCCAAGCACCTCCAAAAACTCCCTCTTGAAGAGGCCTTATCAAGGCACAAAATTTCTCTGCCCACCAGGAGCCAGAGAGCCAACTGGCTTCACTAGCTGCCTAAGCATTAGAAGGGCAGCACTGTCCAACTCAGCAGCGTCTTCGCTGAGCTTGAAGGGATGTGACAGAATGATCCCTTGCACATTCCCTGCTTCCAGTGGCAATGCTCAGCAAAAGGCATCAACTCAGGCAAGAAGATGTCCAGACAGATAGTTGGTAGGCTGTTCCTTAGAACTTACCTTTTCACTTGGGGGATTCAGTTCCAGTCCAGGTCTGTAAAAGGAAAGCCATTTTAATTATTTCAACTCTCTGAAGGGCGAGTTACAGGTGATAAAAGTATGATGGAGCCAGCATACGGGACCCCAAGGAAAGTGCAGATAAATCTAAGCACATCCAGAGGCACAAGCCTGTTTCAGCCAGGCCACACAGAGGTGGAGCTGTAAATTCTTCTGACGGACCATTCCATTGCATTACTGAACAACACACCGATGAGCTTTGTCCCCTTCTGCAGAACTTCCATGTAGCAGGTAAAAAGGAAGCTCCGTGAGCCTCAGGCTGAGTCTTACTCGTCCACCTTTCAGGTCAGACCACAGCTGACTGACCTCCAGCACCACCAGGCATTCCGAGGCTGGTTACAGCCAGGAATCCCAGGACATAGTTCACATGACGCCAGCCAACACCAGGCAGAGCAACTGCTGGCAGCCCCTCAGGCCTTATGGCATAGGCTGGACCCCCCACTAATGCAGTGCTTAACCCCACCATGCTCTGAACAGACTTCTGAAAAGGAAGACCCGTGCCTGAACAGCACAAACTTTGAAGTATCAACCAGCCCCAGGTGACATCATCACTTAAACAGTCCGTTACAAAACCAGTCCTACATCTGTAATATAAAAGCGACCCATATCGCTTCCTTGCAGGGTTTTCTGTGGTTTCTTCCTGCCTGCCTTACATGGTAGCCTCACCTCATGCTGCTGGTCACATCTTCTTCCACAAAAACCTCCAAGGAGCTTTGACCTGGAGGAGAAAAACATAAGCTAGCTTGGGGATTTCATTCTGAGGCTTCCCAACAGCAGCAATGTGTGCGTGGTAGAGCTCAGGTCTCTGTGCAGGCTTTCCTCCCAGGGAACACGCCGATTGCTCATCTCAGCTTTCCACACCAGCACTACCACCTCCCTCAAGTGTCACTGACAAACTGGTGTAGGCTGGGAAGGCAGAGAACTGAAGCAGCAGCTCCTCTGCCTGCAGACTGCTCCAGCTGCACAAACATGCTCTTGCCTGTGTCAGAGATAGCATTTCCCAGTCAATTGACTTGAGCTACTGCATACCTACACGGTTTTATGCGGAGATTTGGTGGATTTAGGCTGATTTCATTCCCCCCATAACACCACTTAGCTGAAAGTGTTGTAACAAATGCCTAGATACAGTGTGACTCAAAGCTGACAAAACTAAATACCAAAGGCCTCAGTGCTTTATTAGAAGCCAATCTGACTTCAGAAGCAATTATTTTAGAAAGTCCAAATAGCAAAACCTTCCCAGTAGTGGGAACAGAGGATATGAGAAGTTTAGTGCTACCAGGAATAGCCTGGATTTCTGAATCTTGTTTCCTCCAATGACTGTGCTATTTGGTTCTCAGTCCATCCATTCGATCTTCACCCAACAAGCATTTAAGTTCCTCTGCCAATTTCAGCCAAATTTCAGGGGGTGGAGACATTCAGTTCCCACAGATTTTCTGGAGAGTTGTCAGAAGACACTGAAATTAAAGGCCCTCCTCATGGAATGCTGTAGTCTCTCCTGATCAGCCAAACTGCACACGTGGCTAGAACCAGCCAGACTGCATTTTCCCTTTCACTCTTGTTTTTTTGCCTATCCACAACCTATGTAACCCAGCCTCCAATCCCCGGGCCTATGCCCCAGCAGACACTTTCTTCACCTGCTGCAGCAAAACACGGCCTGAAACCTGGTCCGGCAGCAGATGAGGACCCGAAGATTGCACCCCAAATGGGTGGAAGCCACAAGGCCTATCGACAAGGAGACTAAGAGGAGCCAGAGACAGAGTTAATACGGATGAGCAGCTCCACAGCTGCTTACTCCCCACACCAAAGCCGAGAAGCTGATTCAGCCAAATGAATGCACTTGACAAGTGAAAAACTTACAGCTCACTCTGCTGGAGGCAGAGGATGATTCTCGCGCCGCTGCCTTCTTTGAAATGGCCCTGCTGATAGACCTCCGGATCATGCTCTCTCTTTTGCTGGCCAGTGAATATTTTTCTGCCAAGGAGGCCCTACGGCTCTTGTGGGGGCCACCCACAAAGCTTCGGCGTCCAGAGCAACGGCGCGTTTTGGATCTCACTGTACTTATTTTGCTGTCGGAGTCCTGGAAAAGCACCTTTTCGAGGTCTCGAGGAGATCGATCTCCTTGGAGCATGGCAGGATCTCCATTTCTAGCAGCCTTGGGAGAGGGGGTACTTGCTCTTCTTTTGGGGGCCTCCTCCCCCTCCCTTGCTGTCTGGCCAGCAGGGATCGCAGCGACGGAAGACACATTGTGCAGCTCAGTGGCTGCGTCCCCCTTGGGCAACTGCTCCCCCGTAACAGCCTTACAGGCTGCATCACTGCTGTCGGCACCCTGAGGGCAGTCCTGAGACTTCGCCTTCACCGCGGGACCGCGTGCTTCTGCCGGCCATTTCCCAGTCAGCGCTGGGAGCTCGGTTTTAACACTGGCCTGAGACCTCACCGCACAGTTGGGCAGGGACACCTCTTCCCCCTGACGGCCGGGGTTCTGGGGTTGCTCTTTGCTGTGGTGCCTTTGGGAACTTGACTTGGAATACACTGGCTTGATGCTGCTTCTCCTTCTGGACAACCTTAAAGAGAAACAATTTTAAATGAAGCGATGAAAGTGTCCCGCTCCCAAATGATTTTTAGAGGAAAAAAAGCAGACAACAAGTTTTGAAGTGAACCCGCAGGCTTCTTCCCTCCACCATTCCCCCTCACAACCCATCTCTTATCACCGGGGAAATGCAGGAGCTGAACCTTGAGAGCTCACAGATGCGCTCTGGCATATTTAGCTGGAACAATTTAGAAATTGCCGCTTACTGCTCTCTGCAAGATTTTTTTTTTGCTGGACGTCACTACCCTATACCACGGGCAGGAGTGCAGGGCACATACCCTCACTGCAGCCATCCCAGCTACCAGCCTGGCACGCTGGGTTGACTCGCAAATAAAGGCTGTATCGTACGGACACAGACTGCAGCAGCTGAGGTACCAGGACACTCGTCGCTCTTTGCGGATGGTAATCCACAGCCCCAGGCGGAGCTGACACCAGAGGACAGTAAAGTCATACTGGTACAACCAGCTCCACTCTGTTTGCCTTGAGCAAAGTACAGACATCCCACAGGGAGGGATTTTGGATCGAAAATATCGCAGTCTCCCACGACCAACTTTGTGCGGAAGTCTCCCCTGTAGAGATCTACAAGATCCCGGCTAGAAACAGAAGGCTCTGCCGCTCTCTGGCAGGCTGCTCAGTATAAAACACGTCCCAAGCACTGGGGAGGCAGGGACCCAAGCGCTGAGAAGACATCCACGGCTCTAAACGCAGTTTGTGAACAGGCTGGGAAACACAGCAATGCTGCCATACACGTGGTACCCGACAGCGTAATCCTGAGGAAGGCAACAAAAAATACCTGTACAGTTAGGACTCACTAATTCTTTGAATTACTGTTACTTAAGGGAAAAATTATCAGGTACAGTAACTGCCTCGAGTTCTGCTGCTTCAGTTAAACCTGACCAGCCACATAGAGGCTTGGGGAACTTCTGCAGTGAAATCCTCTTCGCTCCGTAAGGTGACTTGCCACAAGAGGATGGAGCCACACGCTTGATCAGCAAGTCCAGGAGATGAGGTGGACAAATCCAAAACCAAAGGACAACTTTGGTCGTCCAGAGAAAGGCAGTTTCCGATGCCAAAGCGACCCAGAGGTAGCCGGGTGAAGGGTGGAGATTGGAGACAAAGACGAAACGGAGAGCCAATGTGGAAGCGCGCAACAGCTAGAAAAGGCAGCTAAGAAAACCCACTGCGGTGTAAGGACAAGGTTTTACAGCCCCTGGCGCAAGACCACCAGCAAGCAGTGACTTGTCCTACTGCCAGTATTCAAGCTGATACCCTCTGCCCTCCTTCCAGCCTCGTTTTCTTAATTTCTCATTCTGACCTCTAGCAAGAAGGGACTTTTTGCTAGAATTAGCAAAAAAGACTAATAATTGGGAAATGGCGTAACTAACAATACACTAAGAAATGGGTTTTAAAATCCATACTGAGAAAAACAGAGCAAGGAAAACAACAATGGCCTGACCTTGCAGGATGGAGCGCAACGTGAACTGCAGCATGAACTTCCTGTTGACAAATGACCGCCCGCCCAGGCGTTCTGCCACATCAGCAGATCTTTCTCAAAACTAAGTTTAAATGAGGAAAAACACATGCAAGACTTGTCTTCTTCAGGGGAGCAATCCAGCTGCTACCTGAAAACTAACAGTATGTCTTAAGAGCTCTCCCCGTTTAGATCTGCAACGTTTTCTTCTCCTGCCCTCCTTCACCGCACACACACACGAACTTCCCACGCTTCCTTACTATTCTCGCTGTTCTCTCCATCCTCCATGTCTGGTTTCTGACAGTCTTTCAGTTCTAACTCTTCCTGTCCAACTCCTGTGGGCTTTTCACCACGGTTATCAAAATTTAAGTGCCTTAACACACAAACAGTTTACTACCTCATGCCCAGTGACGAGGTTTGGGTCACGCTACAGCAACTGTCAGCGTGCCTACCCTCTGCTCACAGCACGTGCTTCTCCGAAGGGATGACACCAGAGGACAGTAAAGTCATACTGGTACAACCAGCTCCACTCTGTTTGCCTTGAGCAAAGTACAGACATCCCACAGGGAGGGATTTTGGATCGAAAATATCGCAGTCTCCCACGACCAACTTTGTGCGGAAGTCTCCCCTGTAGAGATCTACAAGATCCCGGCTAGAAACAGAAGGCTCTGCCGCTCTCTGGCAGGCTGCTCAGTATAAAACACGTCCCAAGCACTGGGGAGGCAGGGACCCAAGCGCTGAGAAGACATCCACGGCTCTAAACGCAGTTTGTGAACAGGCTGGGAAACACAGCAATGCTGCCATACACGTGGTACCCGACAGCGTAATCCTGAGGAAGGCAACAAAAAATACCTGTACAGTTAGGACTCACTAATTCTTTGAATTACTGTTACTTAAGGGAAAAATTATCAGGTACGGTAACTGCCTCGAGTTCTGCTGCTTCAGTTAAACCTGACCAGCCACATAGAGGCTTGGGGGACTTCTGCAGGAAATCCTCACGGAGAGCCAATGTGGAAGCGCGCAACAGCTAGAAAAGGCAGCTAAGAAAACCCACTGCGGTGTAAGGACAAGGTTTTACAGCCCCTGGCGCAAGACCACCAGCAAGCAGTGACTTGTCCTACTGCCAGTATTCAAGCTGATACCCTCTGCCCTCCTTCCAGCCTCGTTTTCTTAATTTCTCATTCTGACCTCTAGCAAGGAGGGACTTTTTGCTAGATTAGCAAAAAAAGACTACTAATTGGGAAATGCGTAACTAACAATACACTAAGAAATGGGTTTTAAAATCCATACTGAGAAAAACAGAGCAAGGAAAACAACAATGGCCTGACCTTGCAGGACGGAGCACAACGTGAACTGCAGCATGAACTTCCTGTTGACAAATGACCGCCCGCCCAGCAAAAAAGACTACTAATTGGGAAATGCGTAACTAACAATACACTAAGAAATGGGTTTTAAAATCCATACTGAGAAAAACAGAGCAAGGAAAACAACAATGGCCTGACCTTGCAGGACGGAGCACAACGTGAACTGCAGCATGAACTTCCTGTTGACAAATGACCGCCCGCCCAGGCGTTCTGCCACATCAGCAGATCTTTCTCAAAACTAAGTTTAAATGAGGAAAAACACATGCAAGACTTGTCTTCTTCAGGGGAGCAATCCAGCTGCTACCTGAAAACTAACAGTATGTCTTAAGAGCTCTCCCCGTTTAGATCTGCAACGTTTTCTTCTCCTGCCCTCCTTCACCACACACACATGAACTTCCCACGCTTCCTTACTATTCTCGCTGTTCTCCCCATCCTCCATGTCTGGTTTCTGACAGTCTTTTAGTTCTAACTCTTCCTGTCCAACTCCTGTGGGTTTTTCACGGTTATCAAAATTTAAGTGCCTTAACACACAAACAGTTTACTACCTCATGCCCAGTGACGAGGTTTGGGTCACGCTACAGCAACTGTCAGCGTGCCTACCCTCTGCTCACAGCATGTGCTTCTCTGAAGGGAAGGTTACCTTGACCGCCTTGCCGCTGGCCACGGGATGAGAGCAGATACACAGGCAGCTACCACGAAGCAGTGGCATCGAGGAAGTTAATTAGCATCACAGCCATCCCCGACTACACGTGCAATTAAATCGTGCCCTACACCATCCTGCCTTGGCATCTGTTTGCAGGCAACTGTTGTCTACTTAGGACTCGCTTTAACAACCTCAAGTACAGTTGGTTCTAAGCAAGTCACTTGGAATTTCCACTTCAGTTCCACCGCTAATCCCTTCGAGCCTTTCTGCCTGCCAGTTCAAACGATGGCCGCGGACCTGCTGTTTCTGCATGTCGCTGGTAGCAAGTTCCATTCTCGGGTTCTCTCAGGCACCAGCACAAAGGTTTAGGGAGCGAACACCAGTAGCAACCTCAGGCCAAAAATTGCGCTGAAACAAAATCAAATTAAAAAAACCCAAATCCAAACAGGTAAGAAAACAGAAATTTATTATTCTTTGTGACCAGAAAAAAGAAAAACCAAAAATGAAAGTGAAGGAAACCAGCCAACTCTATCCCAAACTGTCACAAGAATCAAAGTGTCAATTCATCTTGTCATGCCATTTTCAATGTATTTGCTAACTCAGGGAACGAAGAGGCTATTTTATGTTCTTGTGTACGTGGAAAGTTACTATTTTGTTTCACTCTTAAACGCCATGCGGCGGGGCCAGAACAACCGACTGACCTACCTCCTCCTGTTTGGCTCCTTATTTTCATCTTTCAGGCAGGAGGACTGCCTTTTCTTGGGACGCCTCCTCTGTGATGGTGTTTTGGGCATTAACTCAGGTTCAGCCCCCAAGTTGCTGTTGAGCAGACAAACGCAGAAGACGGAGCGCTCCCCCCCACTGCCTAGAACAACGCTATCCACAACCGACCCACAAAATACGGGTCACCCATGGAGAAAGAGGAGCCTTGGGTGGGAAACAAGCGAGATGTACCGGCCCCCTGGCACCAAGGGCCAAACCGAGCTGCTGAAGGCA